TATGATTATTATTACTTCTAGATTTTGAAATTTGTTTTTAAAAAGAGGACATGCAAATTCCCCCCCTTCTTCTTCCTTACATGTGTCCTTTCTTTCATTTTGAAAAAATATATATGTATATTAATTAAATAATGTTGAGAGTCAAAATACTCCCAAGAAACTCATGATTTTCTTACTTCTAGTGCGTCCCTTCAACTAATACACACACACACACACACACATATATATATGTATAATGTTTGGATAAGCAGGTAACTGTTGCTACAAGAACTTTCCTGTCTTTTGCTTAGAGACCGTAAGCACTGTACATATAATATTCAAGGCAATTTCTATTTGTCTTATATGGAAAAATTTTATTTCCAAATAAATTTAATCCCAACCCAACATTAACTAGATCTATGAAAGCCATTATGTGTTTATATAATTTTGGTTTAGAGGGTAGTATTAGAATTTTAGATTAGCTTTATAATAATTTTGAGTTATATATTAATAGATATTTATGTGATTTTGTAGACTCTTTTTAGGAGCTTTGGAGTAACTTTGTGTGATTGTCTGTTAAGCTGAGAAGTAAAAGGTAACTCTGAAATTTCTTCCATATACCTATTAATTGTTTGTGGATTGTTATTGTTGTTAGAAATCTCGCAAATTAATTATTTTAGTATTAAATGCATATACGTGTGTATATATATATATGTGTGTGTGTGTGCGCGCTTACAATAATGAGTTTCCAAATAAATAAAGTTTTACTATTTCTATACGTTTTTATTTTTTATGCTATTAAGTAGTATTGGTGATAATTATATATCTTGATAATTACGGTGTTTGAAATATAAAGAATTGTACTATTAATTATTTGTATTGGATTTTTTATTCTTTTCTGTCGTGGAACAATAGTCTAAAGCTCCCTCCCTCAAAACATTATAAACTTGTCATAAACTACTATTATGATAGAAAAGGAAAAATATTACAACAAACTACCATAGTAGAAAGGAATTTGCATAAATTTAGAAACGGACATTCAAACCCGTGGGCTGAAGCCCAAACAAAACTGTTGCATGCAACCAAATCATTCCTTTAAATCTATTGGGCCTCCGGGCCTCCGAGCCTCTGGCCTGGGTAACAAAAGATGTCATGCATAAGTCCATCCACTTGTTTTTCAACAACATAAACCCAAGTATTATAAAACAGTAGAAGTGGCCTCCGGCCAACCAAAATAAGCAGATAAAACTTCCTCCAGGTTACAATAAGACCAAACAATCAAAATATTTCTGAAAGTCCCTATATGTGGCAATATAAAACCTTCCATACACATGCACAGACTAGAGGCATTACAGCTAACCAAGCTCAAGCCTCCGCATCCCTCCCTGGAGGCGCACGCTTAGAAGCTTCACCTGAAAACATTATAAACCACGGGTGAAGCTAAAGTCCTAGTAACCAACCTTTCCAATTCAGAGTACAAACTAGTAGGTACTCGTGAGGTGTCAAGTGGAGCAGTTAACAAGTAATATTGTAAGTGATAGTCACAACAATCATGCATATGCAATGATGCAATCCCATCAATCATATCCCTCACTATGGTGGATGTAAAGAGCGAACCATCATGCATTAATAGAGGCCTTACCACGTGGTAGTATCAACCAAGTCTCTCACCATTTCCCAATGCATAAATCATGCTCAAGTATTACCAACGAATAAGTTCGCATTTCATAAGTAACTTCAACAAGTGACATATCTTCCAATACCTTAAAATCATGCAAAACCCCGCAAGACAATTTTCTCTTTCTATATATATAAAATACATTCAGAACACTATTTATTACTCGATGCATGAAAACATAAATCCACTTATAGTACCATAATAGGATGTACAAAGGATTGAAAAGTGGTTACTTCTCACTTGAGCAAGGCATAACAAAACACCACGATGCCCCGTGCACCAACAAAAACTCACAACAAGTCTACACAAGCACACAAACGCACAACCACCATGTATTAGTTAACAAACTAATAAAATGGTCAACACAACACTTGGGGACTCAAAATTCCTAACCTCAACCAAAACTCTAGCCAACTCACAAGGGCCAAACCATCATAACAACACTCTAAAAACCACAAGAAACCACTATCACTTTAATTCCCCTTTCAAAACATCAATTGAATTCAGAAATTTAAATTCATCACCCAAACATCTAATTAGAACAATTGGAGTCTTAACAACATTCTAAACTGATTAAACATTCAATTTAACCCTCCTTAACACAACCCAATCCATAAAACTCAATTTCAACCACTACATTGTCATCCTTAATCATAAACCTCCACTTTCACGGACCCTAAATTTCCAAAACTTCAAAATCTCCAAATCCAAGAAAACTACACTGATTAGATACTTAGACTAACCCACAGCAATCATTTAAACTCAAAACAATCGGTTAAAAACCTTAATTCCATCAAAAACCAGAAAACTCTAGGGTTCCACTACAAAACCCTCAAAAATCCCAAGAGAAAGAGTAGATTAGAGGTTAAGATCACTTACTTGAGGCAATGGACCCTTAGAAACACCTCCTCCAAGCCAAAAATTCAAAACCCTAGCAGAGCTCCAACTCCCACCTTCAAGACCCTTCCTCCAGATTTAAAGACGCGAACTTTTCGTCACGGCGAAAACACGGATTTGTTGTGACTAACTAAACCCGAGAGGGATTTTTCTGACCTGGAAAACCAACCTTGTTGAGACCAACTTACACTTCGTCAGGCTGAGAGATTTTTCTCGAGAGAAACTCTCGCTCACTTGAACACCTTTCTTCGTGGCATCCCCCTTAACTTCGTCGCGGCAAAACCCTATTTCTGAAAGGAAGCTCTCCCAATACTCTCCGGTTCGTGCGATGAAGTTTTAGCTAATCTATCCTCAAAATCAACCAAAAAGGGCCGCCAAAACTCAAAATAAAACTGAGGACATTACAAATAGTATGTTGGTTGAAATATTCTGTTATACCATTGTCTGTCATAGCATATACATTCTGTGATGAGCTGAGGTTAGATGGGGATGGATATGTTACTTAATTACCACGTGGTATGTCATCATTCGGTGCACAGTTGAAAGCACTTGTCAGGGCCCCTTCTTCCATGTGTTTCCTTTGGTCAAGATTGCACTGGAGTTGTGGGACATGTAACACCTTAGTTTTGCTTGAGGGGAGCCATAGTCCGGGTTTCAGCTCTATACCTTTGGCTAGGTATACCTCAAGTACTGGTGAGCTTGGGACAAATCCAGTTATATGGATTAGTTTTGATCAGGCTATGTGTTAGTCTATTGTTTCAGTCAACAGAATAAGAATAGACAATGATATAAGGGAGGCTGCATAATGCATTTATTATTGCAAAATGCATGTTGTAAATGAATACGGTATGTGATATTGACTTAATAATGAATATATATTTTTTAACTATCTAAGTACTTAATATTTATATGAATTTATATTTATAAAATTAGTTACGATATCATATAAATGTTGTGAACGTATATGTTAAGAATTTCAGTTGTTACTGAGACGTTAGATTTCATCCATTCCTTTTACATTTTTAGGTGATGGATCTAGTAAGAAGTAAGAGAAGGCATTAATGGAGTGAGCCATGAAGGCTCTTCTGTTCTCTCTAAGCACATGTTATGTTATTTTTATTTGACATAAGCCTAAGACTGCATTATTTTATATTGTTAATTACTTTAAGAATTTATTTTGAAACTATGACATGCTTGTTTGGAGATACACATACTTTGTTTAGTTGTTTTGGACACTAAAAATACTTATGAAGTATTTGTGAAGTATTTGTGAAGTATTTTTGTTAATTATATAGATTATATGTTTGAGATGTTACATCCATCAACATCCAAAAACATCTAAAACATTCAGTAACAAGACAAAAATATCTAAAGGTTCTATCAATAGAGTAAATGTGCAATAAACAAACACTATCATCAACTTTTTGAAACTTAGTATCATCAATTGCTCATTGGTATGAGTATGCTTTTTTTTAGTGGCAAAAATATCAAATTTTTCTTCTTCATGAAAATCTGAATTTTAAATTTTACAATCTAACTATTATTTTACTGTTTAAGATATATTATTATTGAAACTCATAAATTTCTAATTCAAATTATAAAATCACAAGTTATATAAATATAAAATTACTCTCTTATCAAATATTTATAGTTTAAAAATATCAACATATATAATATAAATTAAATCATTATTAAAGTCCAAATTAACTTTTTTAAATTTAATTAAATAAATTATTGTCTAAAACCAAATAAATCAAACCATTTTATGAAATTTAATTTCAAAATGATAATACTAACTAAATATTTGAAATATTATTAACAATAAAAAAATTAATAATATTAACATCACATAAAAAATTTAAAAAATAAAAAAGTTTATAAAAGAGTCTAAATATGAGAGCCTTCGACCCAAAATGGTCAATCCATTTAAGTCCAATTTTATTTAAAAAGAAAATTCTAAACCCTCCTCATAATTTTTGTGTCTAAACGGGCCCGACCTCCATCCATGTTATGGGCTTGTGTAAACTCCTTTTTTTTGGGATAAATTTGATAACTTTATGTATACACATTTTTCAAGAAAAAATAGTAAAAAAAGACAATTAAACTAGAAAAATTGCACATAAAGACCCGTTATGTTGTCATGGGTCCTAATTTATATTTTTTTAATCTCGACAATTTGTTTTGCGATTTTTCCTTTTATTTAAATAGAATAAGAATCTTGAATGTGCTTTTACAATATATAAAGTAAATACGTAAAGAATATTGTCTCAATTTATAGAAAAATAATTCTGAAAAGGACTTGTAGAGTTGTCCAAACACCCGTAATTTCCATTAGGCAGGAAAAACCAAATCGTCGAACCCAAAAAAACCCTAGCCATGTGTAGAAATCGCAACCAGATAGAACCGAAGACCATGGACGACGCAATACGAAATCCGATGGTCGTAGCTCTAGCTTGTGTCGGCCCAAACAAACAAAACCTCACTGTAAAAACCTGCAAATAGCAAGAAAGGATCAAAATTTGTTTTTCTCAAATCAAGCCCATTCCTACACACGTAATTTCCTCAACAATTGCATTTTGTCATCGCGAGCTAATAGATCTTCTGGAATCTCTTGATCCCCCTTCTTTCCCCCGTCGTCGACGAATCCGGGGTTTCGAGAATCGATGGATCTCGAGGTGGTTGGCCGCCATGCTTTGCTCTTCGATGACGACGCCATGTCAGCGTTCGTGAACTCGAGCGATGCTCTTGTTGAGTGGAACTCCCTCTCGATCGATCGCTACGACGTCCGCCACCTGCTCCCTGGCCCTCTTCCACCGCGTCTCAAGCGCCATGCTATTCATCACCCCGATGCTGCTTCTTCGTCTCTCGAGGCGGATCTGGACTATGAACGTTATCTTGATCTGCCTTCACCTACCAAGGAACAAGAGCAAGGTAACGTCAAAGTGTTTTCCTCCTGTCTTTTTAATTTAGATTTAAATTTATCCTGTGGGGTTTTATTTTTTTGATTCTTGGTTCATGTTTTGATGATGATATGGAGATATCGGTCTCTGCTTTTCTATGGTCTATTTTAGATTGTAGAAAAATTTCATCACGAAGGGAAAAATTAAAAAACAAAAAAAGCAGAATGAGAGGAGTTTGAAGCAGTTTTCTCGGACTAAGTGATAGAATCGGGACAGAAAAATAGAAGATAGAAACTAAATCATGAAGCAAAGCTATCCCATCCCAACTTAAAAAAGTCGTGTCCAACACCGAAGAGAGACTTGTATTCTTAGTGATTGATAATGGATTGTGCCCGGATGCTATTTGTAAGTAATGTCATTGATGAATTCTATACTTTGCCTGCCGGAAAAGGAAGGAAAATGAGGATTGGTATTCTGTTCCTTTGAGTTTTGAAAATTGAAGTGAACAGCAATAAGAGAGTCACGACAGATTGCCTGAATGGTGGAGTTTATGTCAGATTTAGGCTGGAACATTTTGTTAGAATAGAATGATGCGGGTAATACATCCTTCTATGCTAGAAGGGTGAACAGTATGGACAGATAACTTTTATTTTGAAGCGCCATGTCTGAACTTTTTTTTTTTTTTGACCTTTTTGTGAAATTGGAATTGAATTCTGAGAAGAAGTACTTGACACTGCTAAGCAATCAGTTAGACCATCCCTTGCTTAGTTTTTGGTGATTACTTTCAATGTAACTAACTTATGTATTGCATATATAATTCACTGTATTTGTCTCCATCCTCCTTATCAACTTTTAATGGGCCATCATTTTCTTTTATACAATATATGTTGGTATGGCAATATCTTATATGTAATATTTTCTTTTGTATCGGTTCTTACTGAAAGCATCAATTCATGAAAATTGGAAAGCTCTTGTCTCAACTTTTTCATCCTAAAGAGTGTTGCTCCTTTCTTGAAGTAATAACAGCGATAATAATGATTGGCAATATGAGTGTCCTAAGGAAAAACTACAATTTCCACAGTTTTATTGATATAAGTTGGATCAGCTAGAACATTGTTTAAAACAATGATTGGTCTAGTCAGTTTTACTATTTTTATGCTTTAGCCAGATTAATATTTCTGGTTTAAATCACTGTGTGAACTGAGTCAGCCTTACTATGTACTTTGGACAGATTAATATCTTTGGTTTAGACAATAAAGCGTATCTTTGTGGTGATGAATGACGTATTGCTACTTTTTCGAGTCAGATAAACTTTTAGTGAATTTCAGAACAGTGAAGATAATTTTTTTGGGCCTAAAACACTGTTGAGCTTTATTTTCTGTGTGTTGAGTGGTATTTTTTCTTTCCCGACAATATTGTCCAGATACGCAGGATGCAATGTAATTTGCTACAGTTCCTCTGTCAGAATACAAGTAAGAGTGTTTTTCGCCTGTCTTGGTCATTTTACCATTAAATTCTTTTGTAGTAGTGCCATAACTGTTGGTGTTGGATGATATTGTTGCCTCCAAGGATTGCCAGCAATACTAATTATGGACATCTTTTTGTGTGTCCGTGTTCAGACACTGATACTGAGCTGATGGTCTCGCGTGGCTATCATGCTGTTGGATTTTCATACGGAAATACCGAGAAGGCCATTGAAACAAAGGACAATGGTACGGACTCTGGTTTTCATCTGCACTTCCCAGTGCCTGAGGGTTTACTTTCAAACCTGGTGAGTAACCTTGGTCTAATTGATTTTTTTCCTTGCTATTTGTTTTTCAGATTGATATATTTGACCTTTTATTATTTAACCAATGTGGCTAGGTGAAAACTGTCTAGAGTACATATGTTATTCTAAGGCTTACCATGTCTAAGTTTCAGATGCTTGGAGCTGAAATGGAGTTCTTGTGACTCAAGGTAGCCCATTCGCAGGCACCTTGTTTCCTTTTGATGTCATGAGAAGGGGTCGTGCAGGTGATATTAGATGATAGGAATTCGTTCATTCTTTACATGAGAGCAAATGGGATGAAAACTATCTTCATAAAGTTCTATTTCTTGATCTTTATGGTTATCGAAGTATGTGTGAGGTTATATTGTGTTTAGTATGATTTTATCTAAATTCTAATAGTTGTCCTTGCAAGATCTTTTTTTGAATTGCTGTTGAGCTAACAATGAACTTTCCAATTTACTGAAAAAACCTTTGTTTGTTTGTTTGTTTTTGCAGCCCCCAAATGAGAAGGTGCATCAGATTATTGCGAGAACTGCTATGTTTGTCTGTAAACATGGAGGCCAGTCAGAAATTATTCTGAGAGTGAAACAAGGAGATAATCCAACATTTGGGTTTTTGATGCCTGATCATCATCTTCATGCATACTTCAGATTTCTTGTTGATCATCAAGAACTTCTGAAACCTGGCATTGATGATGGCAACTCATCTGGAGACAAGAATGATAATCAGGGGCTTGATCAAACTGGTGGTGCATTGTCTTTGCTAGGATCTGTGTATGGATCTGGAGATGATGATGATGGAATTGCTGATAGAACTCCTGAATTGAAAGGAAATGAATATGAAGAAGTCTTCAGTGATATAAAAACATGTTCTCAGGGAACAGAACAAGCTGAGCCTTCACCAGATGAAGTCAAGAAGGATGGAAGTACGTCCAAGAATTCAATATCTACTTCAAAAGAGAAAGTTCCTGTCATAAAGAGAAATCATTCTATCAATACTTTTAAGGCTGCAACTGCAGCTAAGGCAAAAAAGGTTGATGCTTTGGGATCACTGTCCAATGCAGCAGACAAGTCGCTGACAACTTTGCCTGGTACAACCAAGGTTGAAAAACCAATTGTGGAACCTCCATCTGACTTAAAGAGAGTTATTGAGAAGATAGTAGAGTTCATTTTAAAAAATGGCAAGGAGTTTGAATCTGTTCTTGCTGAACAGGACCGTGCTCATGGACGGTTCCCATTTCTGCTGCCATCTAATCAATACCATCCTTACTATATAAAAGTCCTCCAAACTGCTCAGGAGGTGTGCTTCTCATAATTGTTTAACTCATTTCTGCTAAATTACATAATTTTTTTCTGTGGTCCATTCAATGCCTTGGAAATCAGATGGACTCCATTACCTCTTATACAACCATGGGATGCTGGCTAATCACCTATTTTGTCACGTAATTGAGTGACTTCTGCCCTCTACTACCTGAATAAGTTATAATTTGGTTGATTTACAAATTTATATAATACCATGACTATGATCAAGAGACATCATCAGCAGTGGTACTCAGCAATGAGACAAGTAATAATTTGGTTGATTTACAAATTTATATAATACCGTGACTATGATCAAGAGACATCATCAGCATTGGTACTCAGCAATGATATAATGTATCTTAATCTCATTACTGAGGGTGTGTGTCGACCATATATTTTGTGTCTGACATGCTTGCTTGTATATCATCGCTATTATTTAGTTTTTTGCATACGTGATGTCTTGCCTTATGATGGGGGACGTGATTATGAAAACGGCTATTGCGATATTGCTAATATTTGTAATATTATGTTCATCTTTATTATTTTTGTGAAATATTGAAATTAATACAATTTTATACTGATATCAAAGCAGTGATGTTTATTTTGGAGTCTATTTTTATTTTGTACAGTGTGCTTAGGACATCCCAAAACCAAGTCTTCCTTACTGTTTTTAGAATTGACTTTACCTATCGGATATTAGCTACGACCTAATTTTTGTGTTTTTTACAGTCTAAGTCACTGGGCAAGGGTTTCCCCCTTGAAAAACATGATCCAGCCGGTCGCATGGGGGACAACAGACCTGCACATAAAGAAAGTGTCAATCTTTCAGTTGGATCAATTGGTTCTGATTTACCCTATGACATTGACCGGAAAGAGAAGTTCAAAATGGTTATTGGCAAATCAAAGAAGGATGGACAGGAACCAACGTCCAAAGACTCTCAGCCTCATATGGGAGTGAGCATGGATGCAGCAGCAGCAGCAGCTATTCTTCAGGCTGCCACTAGGGGTATTAAAAACCCGTCCTTAGAAATTCTTACCAAAACCTCAAGTGGTAATGGTCAAGGCCTTGGCAGTGATGGTGGTCATCTCTCTGGCCTTGGAAGTCTGCTTTCATATCAACCACCGAGTTCTGTTCAGAAGTCAAAGCAGAATGCAGAGGCTAGTGTTTCTGTCCCTGTTGCCAAGGTTATTGCAGAGACTGCTGCCATTGCAGCAGCTGGTGAGGCAGACTCTTCTGAAGCATCCATGTCAAAAGAGCAGAAGCTTAAGGCAGAGAGGTTGAAACGAGCAAAAATGTTTGCAGCCATGATCAAAAGTGGAGCTGCACCTCTGAAAAGTGAACCAGTTCGAGGTTTATCAGCTGATCCACCTGGATCTGGGGTATCTGGTTCAGGTGCTGAGATTGGGAATCTTGTTGGCAAAGAAAGGGAAGGAAGTTCTGTTCCACAGGAGGTTGATAATTCTGATAAAAGTCCAAAGTCTGCGGAGAAACTTTTTGTTGACAATACTGAACGGAGATCAAAACGCAAGTATCGCTCAAGATCCAGTAGACATGAAGAAGAGGAAGAGAAAGAAGATAAAAAGGATCACAAACGTTCCAAAAGAAAGCACCGGTCTCATGGATCATCTCATGGCAGCCGGGACAGGCATAAGCACAAGAGAAGGCACTCTTTCTCTAAGGACAGGGATTCCAAGCGAACTAAGCATGATAGCTCATCTGATGATGAGTCTCATCACTCTAGGGATTATCATAAATATGATAGTTCCGCTGATGAAAAGCATCATTCTTCTCGACGAAGACGTAGAGAAAGTAACTCATCCGATGATGAACATGAGCATTCTCGACAGCGGCGTCAATGTAGTTCCTCTGATGGTGAGCATCGGCACCGACACAGAACTGGAAAGCATAGGAGTAGATCTCAAGCTGACAGAGACAGAGACTTAGAAGAGGGGGAGGTAAATATGAAACCTGACCAGTTAAGAGCGATTGAGGATCGAAGCACTAGCAGGGAAGCTTCTGTCGATCTATCCAAATCATATCTCCGTTCAACGGAGCCATCACAGCCATCCGAAACCACTGATGTTTCTGATGAGCTTAGAGCCAAAATCAGGGCCATGTTGATGGCCACCTTGTAATGCTCTAGGCTGACAATTGCATTATTAATGATAATTTCATCGTTGCAGTCGTCTGGAGGCTCTCACCCCCTCCCCTCTCCCCGTTTTTCACTTGCCTGTTTCGTTTCATCTATTCTAGTTTCCTTGTATTTAGGGTTAACATAATTTGTTATGGTTCTTGGAGGCGTCACAACTGGTGTGTGATGAAAACTAAAGGAAACCAACCTCTACATGTCAAGATAACTGAAAATGGTGAATAAGAAAAATTAGGATTTTAAGAGTCTTAAGTTTTGTCACTCATGTTTTTCCCGTATTTTCCACCTTTTAAAGTAGAAAGAAATGAGCTTCAGCAAGTTTAAATACTTGATAATTTAGATGAGAGAGCTTAAGGGAAATCAATCGGGTCCCAGGGGCCCATTTCTGACCTTCAAAAAGGAGCAGGTAATTGTGATGAGGGGATGCCTAAATGCATTTCCCGAAGCTTCTGAGACTAGACTCTATTCATAATTGATTTTCATCTATGCTCCCAAATAAAAATTAATAATAAAAAAAAAGTTGTGATAATTAAGAAGGATTACTTCTCCGTAGTTTTTAAGTAAACGGGACAACTCTTGAAAGCTTGGAATTTTTGGATCTCATCATCTCACTAACTAGCCTGAAACTTGAGAGTATCATTTGCAAGGAGTTGCATCAGTAAAGAGACAAATGACTATGTTGTTCTAAGAATGTACAACTAAGCAAGATAATAGGTGTATTACTTAATGGGGGCCGTCACATGTATAAGCGTTGCGATTCTTTTTAAAGGATAATACTTTGCAAAAAAGAATTTCTTTCCTATGTTGGGAATTAGTAAATATTTTAAATGAAAAGACCAATAAAAACTAGGAAATTATCAAATCCCAAAAGAATATCTGTAACACCTTCCTTTTAGACTGCATAACCTTTTAAATAGAATCAATTGGAACCACTTATTATGGCCTTAAGTTAGAAAAATTTAAAATTTAAAATTCATTAAATTCAGGTTACTATTCATGTAACCTTAAACCAAGGCTAAACTTTGAAAAATCATAACTAATTCTAGAAAAATTGAAATGAGGTGGTTCTAATTTTTGTTTAAAGCTCTTAACATGATCTTTAGAGAAAAAATATCTTTGGTATCAAGCCTTTATCAGTCATTCCCATAATTCGCACAAAATAACACTGTTCATATGGCAAATTTCTAATTTTTTAGAATTTATACCTAACTTTGGATAAACATAACTTCATATACAAAACTCCAATTTTGATGAATTACTACTTGTTTTAAAGATAAAAATATGATCTATAAATTTGTTAAGTTTCAGCCCAAAATTCATTCATTTGACGAGAATCATGTTGCCATGAAACTTAAGCATTATTAGGGTTAATTTATCCATTTTTCATGCTTTTTCTTGATTATTCTCTTTCCTTGACATCATATGGTCATCCCATTCACTTATCACATGTTCAAACACCATATTTCCAGTCCATTACAGCCACCAAGATCAACAATATAAGTATCCAAGCTCCAAACATAAATTATTACAAGTTTACATAACAAAGTTCATATAAAATCATGAAAAAAAGAAAAAGCATAGCCAATCCTTATTCCATCATAATCTCATTGCCCTTCTCCTTGGATGTTCCAACTCCTAGATTGTTAATTAATTAAATATGGAAAGAGTGAGATTCCATAGAAATCTTAGTAACAAGAACCACAATAATCATACTAATGCTTTTAAACACTTTCTCTTGGTGTATTCCCACACAAAATCACATTCTAAACTCATTGGAATTATTAAATTAATCTGAACCAATCTCTAACCCATTGAACTATGTTTGCCTGAATAGGTTCCCTAATTTAGGGAATTTGAAGTTTCTTCCAAAATCAATCAAAATATCAACCAAACAAGCAAATCCAAGCTCTAAATCATGGTCTCTATCCTTCTCTAATCATTCCTCTTAATTTTAAAAATTGGACAGCACGGTACCTCATGATTTTTGTCACCAAAGTCTACCTGAAACAAGCTAAACCCATAGTCAAAAAGAAGCTCTTACATATCTTGATTAATTCTTGATCTTTGCTTGATAATTCTTGATCAATTTCAGCATGTTCTTTGCCCTTCAAGATCAGTTTTTCTGTAGTAAAACCTTCTCCCTTTAAGGTGTCAAAATGACCAAAATTGAAGGCTTGGGAGAGGGTATTTATAGACCAAGATTTTGGCCTCCTAACCCTCCAAGTGTCCCACAAATATTTGCTGCTACAACCCTCCAAGTGTCCCATAAATATTTGCTGCTACAGGTCCATGTGTCCACCCTCTTATGCTGTAAAAATTTCAGGCAAGCCAAGTGTCCCACGTAATTTTGTTTTTAGGATAAACCATGTGATAATTTCTATTATTTTATTCCTTAATCACATGGGCCACCTAGGCCTCAAATTTTCTAAGCTTTCCTAACCCAAAATCATGACTAATAGGCTGGAAAAAGAAAAAAGAAGTGTTACCTTTCAGTACCCATTATTTCTCAATCTGATTTTGCCGTATCGGCTAAAATTCCTTTCTAATTTTCAATGATATCTCTAGACCTCCAAAAATTCATTTCTACCTATCACAAATCTTCTTTTAATATAGAAAGGTCCCCTGAATGTTTCTAAAATTTATTTCACCTTCTAACTATTTGTATTGAATTTTTTTCGAAATCAGGTTTTACGGATAAGATTTTGACAATAATTATTCTAAAATTAATTCTTTTAATTCTAGGGCCTAGAAATAATTTTATAATCTCAAATAAACCTTCAAATAATTTTTTCATTTTTTTTCATAATTACTGAGGCCTCTACATATTTAAAATAATGTTTCCTACTGATTTTTCAATGTTTTATCAGAAAAATATTTGTTTACAGAAAATTCTGTAATAAATCATTTTTGTGCTAATTCCACTTCCAAGGCCTCAAATATGGTTCCAAACTCTATTTTATTTTTCTATGATTTTCTGAGAATTTTCTGGAATTTTTATCCAACTTTTCTATTTTTTCTTTCTTGTACCAATAATTTCAAAAATATCAGTCTGATCAGGGGTCAGATCTCAATTCAAAAGTTTTTTCAGCTCTGAATCTACTTTACTACTTGGCTCTCTATCTAATTTATTATTTACACTCCCAGGGCTAGGATTAGCGGGATATGACAGTATCTTAATATGCATAATTCCAGAAAAGTGCAAACATCTAAAATGGAATTTTGACATTCAAGGAAAAAGAAAGAAATGCCCCCATTTATAATTTTTACACTGAAACTAGTAAAATGAATTGAAAATTTATTATTACCATACGAAGTTTAGGAATTGAACATTTTCTAAAGACATGGTTTTTTTTTTCCTTCATTTTCCTGAGTACCTAGGTTTAAATCGCAATTTGCTAATTTTTATTCCAAAATTAGTTAAATGGATTCAATTTGTCAATCACACTTGTTGGGAGGACTTTAACCTTAACGTTTCCTGCTCGATAGAGATTAATCTTAAGCTCAAAGTGGTTTGGAGATACTTTGAGTTATACAAAAAAAAAAAATTTGTTAGTCACATGAAGTTTAGGAATTGAGACAAGGTAACTCTTTCGTATCATTCACAATCATAACTAGAGAAGAGAAGAACACATAAACAACAAAGAAACTATGCAGAATATTAAGCATTAAATGAACCGAACAGTGAAACAAGAGAGTATAGAGAATTTGCATATTAATGTGGAAGCAAACTGCATATGTCAGTAAGGATAGAAAGTATGATATAAACGTGGGAATTGAAGCATATTAAATAAAGATGAAAAAAAATATTATACACGCCACAGAAAAACCATTTGCTCCGATACCACTAAAGGATTTTGGGGCATGCCTGCAATCTGATAAGTAATCCGATATGCCCACGCGATGGAGAATCATAAAATGGATGCTACATGGTTATACAATGAATACATCAAATGGAAAATAGAAGAGAAAAAAAGAGTGCTAAGTAGAAGTTACTCAAAATCATTCGTATACAAAGTTGACACCCTCAACTTGCATAATCTCATGACTCACATATGGGAAGTTACCGGAATTTTAAATCAATAAATAAAATTTCCTCTTTCGACCCATGTGTTTTTCTTTATTACCATATAAGCCCCACTTAGACTGTGCTTGGACTCTAATCCACCAATGGCGGACTAGGTAAATCTCAACATCATCAATTACTTCATTACTTACCCCAAAACGTACATCACACCTAAACCATGTTAGAATGTTGCATGTCTACTATGGTCACTAAGACCTCACACCCTGATTGACAGCTTGTAATTATATCATACAATAGATAGATAAGCAGGCCCCTGGCATTTTACCACTATTAAATAAGCAAACACTAACGAGAGGATCCTCATAGAAATCAAGCACAGATGATACCCTAGGGGTCTCGAGCCATCTACAAGCATACATTCTAGAACATGAAAGAACTAAAATATCACATCAAAATTCAGCAGTGTTTGCTTTAGCGAAGAACACATAATTAATAAAAATAAACCATAATACGTTATGCAACTGTTTATGGTCCTAATATGGCAATATTACAATGAAATACAAAGCATAAAATCCAACGGGGACGATTCTACTCTTCACAGTAAACTCCAAACCTCTGATGCCTTTCGTACTGGTCCTTCTCTACTAGAGCTTCCACCTAAGATAAGCAGGCCCCTGGCATTTTACCACTATTAAATAAGCAAACACTAACGAGAGGATCCTTATAGAAATCAAGCACAGATGATATCCTAGGGGTCTCGAGCCATCTACAAGCATACATTCTAGAACATGAAAGAACTAAAATATCACATCAAAATTCAGCAGTGTTTGCTTTAGCGAAGAACACATAATTAATAAAAATAAACCATAATACGTTATGCAACTGTTTATGGTCCTAATATGGCAATATTACAATGAAATACAAAGCATAAAATCCAACGGGGACAATTCTACTCTTCACAGTAAACTCCAAACCTCTGATGCCTTTCGTACTGGTCCTTCTCTACTAGAGCTTCCACCTAAGATAAGCAGGCCCCTGGCATTTTACCACTATTAAATAAGCAAACACTAATGAAAGGATCCTCATAGAAATCAAGCACAGATGATATCCTAGGGGTCTCGAGCCATCTACAAGCATACATTCTAGAACATGAAAGAACTAAAATATCACATCAAAATTCAGCAGTGTTTGCTTTAGCGAAGAACACATAATTAATAA